AGTTTTTCTTGTTTTTATTCTTTTTTTTTTTTTTTGGTGCTCACGAGAGTGTGAGAATTGTATGTCATCTTTTAAAACTGATCTGTGATGATTTTATACTTCTGCACTATATATTTCTGTAATACCAATAAACTATTTTGAATAAGCTGCCTCAAACAGTTTTAACAGACAGGTGCAGTAATGTCATTTATACAGTCATAACTACTAATAAGTTATTTTGAATAATCTGTCCCAAACAGCAAGCAGTTTATTCTGATAATCTGCAGATTATCAGAATAATTTGCTTATTAGCACATTATAAATTGCTGCCCTAAACAGACCCTAAAGTTTCAAAAAGTTGTTACTCTGCACAATTGGATAACCTTCATGACAACTTTGACCAATCTCACCCAAGCATCAGCTCCCCGAATAACCACATTGGCACCATCAAGGGCGTCCTCAATAGCAACCTACTCAGTATTAAGGGATTCATTAAAAAATAGCTTGTCGTGTGATGAACTCTACACAATCAAAATTCCCAAGGTGTTTAAACCTTAATATCCACCACTAGAGAAAAGCTCTATACCATCTTTAGGCAGTGTAGCCTGAGAATCCACTTTCCCAAGAATCAAATGTACTCATCCTACAATAATGAGCTACTAAACTCATTAGATTTACCAAGACTTTTCCTAGTAACTCGAACACTAATCTTATGTACTAGTCAGTCAAGTAAGGTTTCTTGCTAGAATTTGCTAGAAGTACTGACTCTCAAACTTAAGAACGTTTGAAGTTCTAGACTAGCACCTGGATATAATTCAAATACAAATACTAAACCAAGTCCAAGTCATGTAGTCTCCATTAAATCATTATGTAATCAATTTTATACCAACGGCTTTGACCCACACTACAAATAAAGGTAGTCAGTCATACATGAAATATATGCCTAATAACTTTCTGGCCAAAACTCTTATCTCATTAGTCTCTCTAAGAACTACTCCTAGATTCTCCTCAGACTAACTTTTTTTTCTCTTTAAATCGTCTATGTAACTCAGTTTGAATAAGAATAGTCTTAGAGACTCAATCTTCTCATTTCCCTTTCTGCTATTCGGGCTTGTTGTCTATCTCTATAGATTGTTGGATCTTTCAATTATCCAACAACCATGTTATCACATTAAAAGCAAGAAAGCTGGTCTCATTCTAATACCAATTAGATTGCCTTCTCCAAGAAACCACTGATGTTTCAAAATGGCAAATGGATCGAGCTATTGGGCAACATTCAGCTAAAACCCCGCTACAATTACAGAGTCAAGGTACTAAACTTAGCCGAAACTGCCCTCCGTATCAATCGCTATTGTAAATTAGCGCCCAGAGATAATGCACCTTTAGACGGGACAGAGGGAACGGAGTCGCCGGAGCCAACGACAGCAATGCCGCTTGAGCCAAAGAGGCTTCCGGCGTAGAAGGAAACAGCAATGAAAAAGAGGCCAAAGAGTATCAGATGCACTATGCGGGAATCGAACACCGCCGAAAACATCTTTGGCATGTCGCCGTCGATCGGCTCCTTATTTCGCAGAATTGTCTCCAGTAGGAACCTAAAACGCTCGGCAAAAGCCCCGAACCTATTCACGGGATTGCGAGGCACGGTCGGACGGACTCGCTAGGAGTTTTTTTTTTGGAGGATTTACATACATGCCACCTAATTTATCCACATCTAAAATTTATTTTTTACTTTTCTAACACCCAAGAGTCCCAAATACATAAAAATTGATGTCATATTAAAGATTTTAGTGCTGTGTATGGATATGTAAATACAAAAGATATGAGTGCTACATGTGTAAATTTATCTAATTTGTTTTGTTTTCTTTCATTCTAAATCTTTTATTTTCCTTGCCCAAACTTCAGATGAGAGTGCTATTTTTGTTTCATGAAAAATTTACTTTTCAAAAGCTTTCTAAGTCAAATGGCACATGTCCCAAGGAGTATAAGCTAATTTAAAAGGCTTATTCAAAATGACAATGGAGTAATGAACATTTTGCAATTTTCTAGCCAAAGTGAGTTGTTATCATAACAAAGATCATACTAATATTAATTGTGTGCTAGAGATTAGTGGCATGTCATAAGGTGCATAACATTCAATATCTTTATAAATAGAGGAGGTTTGGATCTTATTCATATGGTGGAGTATCAACGTTTAAGGTTTGATAGTACTGGTAAATTTATTGTTGGACTTGATCCATATACAGACGGATAATTAACTAGCTAAGTTGTAGATGTTATGCTTTTATCAGTTGAACTTTCGTGGATATTATTTTTTTGATAAATTGGATATCCACCATAAATAAAAGTCTAAATAAGGATTTGACCTGCAAAATAGAGTTAGTATGAGCAATAGCATGCAACGTATAATAGACCATTCCGGTGAGAGGAGAGCTAAGCAACGCCTGCAAAAAACAAGTTAGTAGAAATTAATATAGCTCCTCTATATTGGACATAGCACCCTGCAAGAAGAGACACCACTAACATGCTAGTGCACAATTGTCAAAGCCTGTAAACACACAAAGCATCACAAAAATGCTTGGCTATGCACAAAACATCAGCAATAGTTGGAGCATATGAAAAACCTAACTGCACCTTATCCCTTGTCTAACGAGCATATACATCAAGGTGTCCTAATCACATGCATCTAAGAGCGTGTGCAAGAATGTAGGTAAAGGCAATAGTATGATTTTGATGGGGTCGCCATCATCTGCACCTTCCTAAAGATCCAAGAGATCGATGCATGCCACTATGAGATGAAATTTTAAAAGATCGAGACCGTGTTGGAGGAGAAGAGTAACTAAAGTGTGATGGAGTTTGATCTCTCTCGAGCAGCTCCTTTCAATGTGAAACCGT